GATGTGGTTAAGGGGCTTTAATCATCATGGCACAGCCTCTGGCAGGGGGTTGGGATGCTGGGAAGGGAACAAGAAACCACATATCAACCCCCCCTCACCCCTAACCTGTCCTGATTGGTCTGTCTTGGCTTTCAGATTGGTTGGAAAGTCCAGAGCAGGGGGTTTGCTGTTTGGCTTTGCGGCTGCTGAATCAGACCCAGTTAGACTGAGAGGCTCAACCCCAGCCCAGCGCCTGCTGCGGTGTCTCTAACCTGAGTGTCTGAGAGAGACAATGGGGCCAGCACCTGGGTCCACTGAGAGTGACGTGCCGCTGCAGGAGAATGCTAATGGCAGTGGACACCTGCAGACTGCAGGGGAGCCAGGTAATGGGGCGTCGCTGTCTGGGACCAGGCTGGAGAGAGACACAGACTGCCTGGGGGGCTGGAAGGGGACATGGCCCTCCCACTTTTTGTCACTGGTCCCGCCCCTCCCCCTCCTTTTCCCCCTGAGGTCCCCCCCACCGCCTCTGGCTGGCAACGGAGCCCAGCTAGGGAGTCCAGGCAGTTGCAGGGAGCTGTAGACGACCCTTCACTTGCCTGGGGTGGGGATCCAAGAGCAGCCCCTGGCCTGTATACCTGCCCCCCCCGGCTCCCTGCCCAGAGCAGGGGGAGGGTTTGTAGTTCCCCACAGCTGTGGCTCTTACCAGGGCCTGACTGCTGCTCTGAGGCCCTGCTCCCCAGCCAGAGCCGGATCTTGGTAACAGCCCCTGGGGAGCCATGGACCCTCCATCTGCCCTTCGTGAGGGGTCTGCCTGACCCTCCGGGCTCCTCTCCCAGAGCGTCTGACGGGAGGAGCAATCGACAGAACGGGGCATGTTCTAGGGCAGCTCCAGCCCTGGTGCTGTCAGTGAGACGTGTCCTCGCGGCCCGGCCTGACGGGTCTTTGTGTTTCAGAACCTCGTCGTAATGGCAAGAAAAGTCAAACCCGTCCAGTTGTGGTTGCGCTGATAGTTGTATCGTGTGCTTTGATCGCTGCCATCATTGCTCTGGCAGGTGAGTTCCCAGCTTCTGCCCTGCTCCCTTCCCCTCCCCTCCCTCTATGATCTCTGCGCATCCAATTCCCCCTATGATCTACCATGGTGTCTCTCTCCTCCCGGCCTGTCTGGCTTTTGCCCCTGGGACCGAGGATTCCTGGGGATGTTCTGATATTAGCTCCCCCTGGCCCAGCTCTGAGCACTTTGGACCCAAGTCACCTTTACCCTGCGCCATGAAGCAGTCACTTACCAGGGTGTCCCAGGGGACAGGGCGCAGAGCAGCAGTGAGCCCTCTGCCTGCACTGGGTTGCTCTGAGGTACCAGCCTGGCCTTCCTGCATCTTCCGGTCATGCCTGTGGCTGGGCGGCAGGTGCTGCCGTGTTATCGAAATGAGCCATAGAATTCAGTCTAGACCCCTCCATCAACGCAGCGTTGAAACCCACCAATCACTGATCTTGGCCATGAAGGGTCCCTTAGCACCATTCACTCCCCCGGGCTGCACAGAAAGCACATGCTAGTACAGAGGGCGTCTGTTTGCGGTGAACATGAACCCGGCTGTATCTGCCAGTAGTCTGGGGTGGGGGGGCTGTAAGACTGTCAGGGGTGGGATTTATCTATTGCCCTGGGATCTGATCACTGGGCCCCAGGAGGGTTTAACAGCTGGCAGAGGGGGTTGAATCCGGGTCTGTCTGCATTAGGAATCCTCTGTGCCGATGTCATGACCTCAGTGCAGTTGAATTGGTGCAATGGTTACAGTAGATGTACTGCACAAAGGAGCTTGCCTTGGTGCAGTTTGCTGCAGGAGTTACCAGAGTGAGCCACGCCGCTCCAGCGCATCTCCAGGAGGTGTTTGCCCTGGTGGAACTGCGTCACTGTGATTATACTGGTGCAAATTGCTCTGATACAGACGGGCCCTGAATCCCGGCTCCTGCTGCAATGGCCGGCTGTTGCAATGGGCAGCATTGGCTGTCACTGTAAGGTGGGACCTGTGAGCTTAGGTTGGTTACACTCCTACAGGGGCAGGGGGCTCCGCAGAACATGTGACATCTGACCTGGAGATGGATGGTAGAGACAACCTGTGTCATCAGCTGTCAGTCATGGACTTCTCCGCTCAGTTCTGTGGGGGAGGGGTGTGGGCTCCTGTGCACTGCACAGTTAAATCTACAGGGTGAGACCTGCCTTGTGAGTGAGGTGAGCACATGCTCGTTTTCTGATCACAGCTGCCACATTTCCTAACTCTTCCAGACTTCGTGTCTGTTCCTCACTGAGCGCCAGCCACATGGGAAGGCTTAAAAACCAGCTACCAAGTTACCGTGGTGCAAAAAAAGGTGATGTGCTCCAAAATGTCTGGAGGGGTTTGAGTCCGACTCCTCCCCACCCCAAAAAGGAAACAGCAGCAAATACCCCGAAGGGTGAAAACGAGCAGGAGTGATTCTTGCAGGGTTTCGAATGGTTTTGTGGCTCTTACCCACCGTGATCTGATAACTCTGCCTCTGCTTACTCACCAGCTAGACAGGCCTTTCAGATCTCTCTTGGGTGTCGCTTATGGGTGACCCCACTGCTGTTCTTTCATGGCACTGAAAGGGTTGCACTCTGTGAGGGCTTCCAGCAAGTTTCTTTCTTGGTGCTGTATTTAGAGAAAGAAAAGTCTGCAGATAGGAAGTGAATTAAGTTACATCATTCCTGGCCCCTAGTGCAACAAGTCACTTCCTGCTGCTGCGGTTTCTGGCGCCATCTTATGGATTTCATGTCCGAGTGAAAGTTACTGCACATTCTTGTCAGTTATTCACCTGCTATTTATTGCTAGGTTGAACGTCCACCTGTTGATCTTGTGCCTGGGGTGAAATGCTCTGAGCTGTGTTAGTCTCTCCCAGGCTGGGAGTGTCCCTGAAATCCTTCTTGCCAGGCAAATTTACTGTGACCAACATCTTCGTCAACCTGCGTCTGATTGCAGTGGACAGGCCCAGGCTGGGGGTCCCAGTAGGCTTGGCAAGCCGGTCAATTGACTGCCTGTTTGGCCGCAGTCAAATAGTGTCAAATACTCCAGCAAGAACCCTTGGTGTAGGAGGCCGTTTGCCTTTTTGATTGTGTCATGGAGCCTCGCTTGTGTTTTTTCAGAACTTTCTTTCATTGTTTCGCTTTTTTTACTGAGTTAAAATAACTCTTAAGTAATTTTTTTTTAAATTAGGCGTAAGTATCTATCTAAAACTAAACTACCGGAGACCATGCAGTCTTGCTCTTGTTTGTTACTGTTCTGATAAATTGGTATTTTAAAATATTTGACCGGTTTTTTTTTTGACACATTTGACTGGTCAATTGACCAATTATTTTTGTACCAGTCAAATGCCCAATTCTAGATGCAACTCTTACCCCACATGCCACTTTCTCATTCTCAGTGCTGACATCTAAGCTTCCATCAGCTGCTCTGTGCCCCCCTGCTGGCCCTGCATGCCCGGATGGCTGGATCGGGTAGCGAGGGAAATGCTACTATTTCTCAGAGGTCGAAGGGAACTGGATCTACGTTCAGAGACACTGCTCCTCCTTTGGTGCCTCCCTGGCTGGGATCGACAGTGAGCAGGAAATGGTGAGAGACTGTCTCATTGCGATACACTGGCCTTGGCACAGCAGCTGCTGCTGTAGGACCTGGGCTCTGCCTCTGCGGGGCGAGGAGCAGCTCTGACCCCTCTCGTGCTGGGAGGCCAGAGTGAATGGACTTCCAGCCCCTCAGTGCCAGACCTGGCTGGGCCCAGGGCCATACTGTCTGTGTGTGATCACAGGGATTGCCCATTCTCAGTTGCCCCCCTCCCCGAATAGGGAGACAGCCCCTCTCTAGGCAGGGACAGCTCAGGCATCTCCTGGCTGCGGGAGTGGGACGGAGACCACAGGCAGTGTCCTGCTTTGGGGATGGGACAGGAGCAGCGAGCTGAGGATGTGGTGGGGGGGAGGGGTGGGATCCTCTGACATTGACCCCTCCCACTTCAGTTTGAGTTGCTCCCTCTTCCTGCCTTGCTGTGGTGCTCTGCAGAGAGCTCAGACCCAGCAGGTGCCCCCAGCCCAGGGGAACTTGGGGTGCGGGTGATGGGAGCACAGGGGCGGGGCTGCTGTGTGCAGTGGGAGGGTTAATACTGCCTGGGTGATATTGTGCTTTGCAAGAGGGAGGGCGAAATCCCCTTCTCCTCCCTCTCTCTTCTCTCCCTCTCCCCCGCCCCCTGAAAATAATCTAAGTGCCCTTTAGTATGCGACTGGGATTCTCTGCAGCACAGAGCCCTGGAGGGGTGGGGGCGGGGGAAGCACCAGAGCTGGGTCTGATACCTGCTGTCCCTCGACTTTCTTTAAGTTGTTCCTGCTGCGCCATAAGGGTGTCCATGACCACTGGATCGGCCTCCGGAGGGAGCAGGGGCAGCCCTGGAAATGGGCCAACGGCACCGAATTCAACGGCCTGTGAGTGTCTCACCCTCTATACTAATACCCTGGGCTTGGGGATTCTGGTGTCTGAACTGTTTTGAGCTCAGGCAGATCCACCATTCAGTGCTAGTGAAACAACCAGACACGACCCTGGTCCGTTCGCGTCCTGCGTGTACCACAGACCGATGGGAGCCAGCGTGTCCCGGAACTCTTGGCTCCTCCCCGCAGCGCGGTGCTGGGCCGGAGATGGAGCCTGCCATAGCCAGAGGTGCCCTCGCAGCGCGCTGGGATTTCAGCTGGGACACTCACTGTCCTTCCCCAGCCCTCAGCAAAGCCCTGTGGTGTCTGACCCACACACACACCCAGCAGGGAGCACAGGTTAACATGGCTGCTAGAGAGGGCACCCTCGCCTTGCCCAGCACTCCATTGCGGCTGCAGGTCCTGCTGGGGTTTGCAGCCAGCAGGTTTGAGTGACGTGGCTGTTGAGGCCTCTGAATCCGCAACAAGGCACCCACGTTAAAGGAGCCTGCGGTTCACAGGTGCTGGACGCCTGGGGCTCCCACAGTAGTGATAGCTGCCCAGACAACACCCCACAGTGGATTTCAGTGGGCTCCAAGTGTGATCACAAAACCAGCGTTGCTTGAGCCCGGAGCAGGGTTTGAACCCTGAGACTTCAGCACTAGAAGCATCAGCCTCTGCTATTGGAGCTAAAGAATCACTTCTTTAAGTGAAAACCCCTCCTGACTGATAAAGCTCTTATGCATGGCAGCCACTAGAGGGGATGGAGACCCCCCACTTCCCTGGTCTGGGTTAATTCAGTACTTTGAAAAATCAGGCTGTTATGGTGCTGGGTCAGCGCTCCCCAATGGCCAGTCCCTATTGTGCTGTATTGGACCCAACCTTTGGATCCCACCTGCTTCCAGCCCCACTGGGTCTGAATAGCTACCAGACACTGTCCCTAGTTTGGGCCTCTGTGGCACACTGCTGGGGTACAGACTCCCTGTCTGGTTCCCTCCTTAGGATGTGGGACCCTGCAGTCCAGCTGCTGTAGGGCCCAAAACCAGTGCTGAACCCTCTTAGAGGCATGTTGTCCCTAGAGTTCCACCCTCCAATCCAGATTAACTCTGGGAGGGTCAAGTGACGGTTACAAACAAGGAACACCTACTTTTGCAAAGGAACTTCTCAAACACACTCTTTTACCGCCATCCCCAGTGGAAAGCGCAAGAGTTATAGATCAGTGGAAGAGGAAACACCTGAATACAATTTCCTCCTTCAGTGTCATCTTGGTTCTGCTCCGTGTGTTTCCAGGAGGCAAGATCCCTCCTGCCCCCCACTTTTCCTGCTCAGTCATCTGGTTCTGATGATGCTCTGCCCCTCTTGTTAGAGGAACGGTCCCTTTTGAAAATCAGTCTCACAAATTCTCTCCATCCTGCTGGGGACTTTCCATTCTCCAGACCCTGTGGGCTGCTCAGCGTAGAGGGTCACTAACAGCCAGTGGTTCTGCAAAGCCCCCACTGTCCTGAGCTCTGCTCCTGAGGGGCTGTGAGTAGCTGCTCCGCACTCAGGCCTGCACTGTGGGAATGGCTCCCCTGGCTGTGACTGGTGTGAAATGCC